GCCCCCCCCCCCCCAAGACTCCCCTAGCTACGCCCATGCCCCTGTATAAGCCCTTCTGGTGATACGAAGAGAGGGTTTGTTTTAAACTCAACTACGGGCAAAAGTGGTCTCCTGCGCAAAAGAAACTTTATTTACTTACCAACATGGAAATCCAAATGTTGGAGCTCAAGTATAACTTGTTGTTTCTGAGCAGAAGACATTCTGGCGAATACTGCACCATTCACCAGTAATGGAGGAATCAGTTCAGGATAATGAGTACGCATCGTTTCCCAGACATGGCTAGTCAGAGCAAATTTATACCTGCCAATACTGCGTAGTGCTTCCACATCATACCAGCTTCCATAACTTGCTTTCCTCGTCTGCAAAAGGGGAATAAAAACGTCGGTACTGATGCATGAGGTAGTTTTATTGAGAGAAAAATTCCGAATACTTTTCACAATATTCTGATTACGTGGTCTGCACTCGCAGATTAATTAAATAATATACTATGATTCTATATTAGTGTGGCCCAATTATACACGGCAAAATTTATTTTGCGAATTTTTTTGGTCTTACCCCCTAGAACTGGTCCATTTGATCAAAGAACACTCTCTGCCAAGTTTCAGCCAAATCCGATAATATTAACCCGTACCGACAGAGCCATCTTTTTTACATTGAAAAACACCTTTTTTCAGAAAAATCCATTCCCTGGAAAATGTGTAATGTTGTGGTCATATTCGGCTTTAGCAGGAAAAATTGAGTGGGAAAAGTTGTATCAGCCACCTTAAAAAATTGTTTTTACCCCTCGTTATAGCGGTGAAACAACTGAAACATCCAACGAAAGAGCGACGCCAAGAATGGCACAATTTGGGCCAGAAGGGATTTTTCTGAAACCGGGCCCAAACGATATCTTATGATACCCTAAAACTCTGGTAAAAATTTTAGCTTGAGTATACGCACCGTTTTTGAGAAATGGGGGGGCAAAGTTGCCAAATTGCCATCGTTCTGGACAGCATTTTTACAGCAAAAGACGGGAAAAATGGACGAAAAAGTTACACCATTGATGGGTTTGGGCTGTAAATGTTCTTATTGAGCCCCCGTGCATGTGATTGTCTTCAGTTTCAAAAATTTTGGACGTACAATGGTCTAAAATGGGGAGAAATCCTGGACAGATAAGGATTCTTTGTCAAACTTTTTAAAAATGGAAGTAAAATTGTTGGTCTCCTGCAGAGATCATGGGGAACAATGTTCTTATCGGTCTTCAATGCATTCAATTGGGTTCAGTTTATCAAATTTTCATCGCACAATGGTCCAAAATGGGAAATTAGTGGACAAATTAAGATCTTCTGCCTAACTTTTTAAAAATGATGTACGACTATTGGTTCCCAGTAGACTTTAGATCCCAGAAAAATTCTTTAAATTCTTTTTTTGACTATTTACATCTTTTTTACGTTTTTTCTCTCCACTTTTCTTTCTTTTTTTTTAAATTTCTGAAAGTTTGCATATTTTATTGAAATAATGCTACAAAGTCTATTCTATAACAACGTTCTATAAACAATACGGTCTGACGTATATAAATAATTAAAAAAAATAAAAACATGCATTTTTCCGGGATTTAAACTCTACTGGGGACCAACAGTTTGACAGAGGATCTTAATTTTTCCACTAATTCCCCCATTTTTGACCACTGTGCGATGTACATTTGTGAAGCTGAACACATTTTCATACATTGAGGACCAATAAGAACATTGTTAGCCATGAAAACTGCAGCAGACCGAAAATTTTACTTCCATTTCTAAAAATTTGACAAAGAATCCTGATTTGTCGACGATTTCTCCCCATTTTGAACCACTGTGCGACCAAAATTTTTGAAACTGAACACAGTTAAATGCTTGGGGGCCCAATGAGAACATTTACAGCCGAAACCCATCAAATATTTGACTTTTTCGTCCATTTTTCCCGTCTTTTTGCTGTAGAAATGCTGTCCAGAATGATGGCGATTTGGCAACTTTGCCCCCTCATTTCTCAAAAACCGGGCGTATACTCAAGCTAAAATTTTTACCAGAGTTTTAGGGTATCATAAGGTATCGTTTGGGCCCGGTTTCAGAAAAATCCCTTCTGGCCCAAATTGTGCCAAAAAACGGTCGTTTTTGGCGTCGCTCTTTAAACGGTTGAATTGAATCACCTTAAATTTAGGTTTTTTGAACTTTGCCCAAAATATGGGGACTTGAATACGCAATGTAGAACTAATTTTGAACTAACCAAGATAATGTTGAGGCAAAGTCAAGGGAAATTGGCTCAAATGGCGAGAAAACCGTATGACGGATTTGGGGGTCCGAACCCCCCTTAAAATTAGTTTGAATTAATTTCTGTGATTTTTATTTAAAAGTGCCTAGAATTTGGAGAATTTTCCCGTTTTATTTTCTTCTTTACGATAATTCGAGCCGGAGTTATTCTTTTTTGAAAATAGGTCAAATTTGACCTTTGACCTATTATAACTCCGTCAAAAATTGAGAAATTGATCTATGCGGTTTGCGCCAAAATGCTTAGTTTTTTATGTTCTTTCCAATGATGTATCACATTAGCCCTGACTATACATCTCCCACAAGTATGAGTAATCGATAAACGAATTTTGAAAGAATTATAGGGGGGGGGGGGGGGCG